GCAGGCCGGGGTGAGGGGGCGCTCAGTGACCACACGCACACGCGAGGTTCAAAAACCAGATGCCGTGTAATGCCTGAAACAGAGGGCACGTGACAAGGGCCCATCCAACGAAAAGCTGTATTTTATCTCCCTCTTAAATTTTTATCTGAAGTACCCTGACTCATCTGTGGCCACCCCACCCTGAACACACCCGCTCTCCTCTGAAGTAACAGGATGACATCAGCGGCAGGTGTAAACCCAGTGATTCTGTACTGAGTCACCACAGAACGTGGCTGCATTCTGCACCTTCTCCCTTAAATTTGTCCCCTGAAAGCCTGATCAGCGCTCACTCAGGGGCAGAGACAGCAGTGCCTGGAGCACCAAGACGACGTGCCCAGGGGCCGTGGGTCCCCGGCTTTCTCCGCCCCGTCACTGCAGCAGGGCAGCCAAGTGGAAGATTCTCTCCTCCGTCCACTCCTCCCACAGCCGGACACCGAGCAGATGGAAGCCTGGATTCCAACCACGGCCAATGACGTGGCAGACGGACCACTGACACTTGTCCCAGGTGAGTGCCAGGTATGGGCGGCCTCACGGGTACCCACGGTCAAGGAGGCACTGACCGCTGGTCATTCCCAGTGGCCAATACAGATAGGACTGGGCTGAGGGATCATGGAGAGAGACTCCCAGGCAGAATTCAGGGAGGGCGGGGGCCCTCCAGGTCCCCCCAAAGCCCAGAGTCTAGGCCACAGACACCCAGAAAAGGCAGAGCCACATAGGAACGCGGCACAGACGGGAGAAGAGCGAGGAATGACACACAGGGAGAGGAGGTCGTGAACACACAGGCAGTCCCGTGAGCTGGACACCAGACGTCCTCCATCAGGTCCAAGCCTGCCTTTCCTGAAAACGTCCAGGTGTCACCTCACGAGGGGAACTACCTCCAACCTGGGTCATATCTGAAGTCTGCACCACACGACAGAAATTCACGCTGATCTCGGCAAACATGTGGGGTTCCCTAAACTGGCTTTAAATCTGAAAATAACTTCATCAAAGACCCCCAAATCTCTACCCGCTAGAAAACCTAGGCGTGACTTGCTTAGAAGACCCCCTTGGAAATCACACAGCTCACTTCTAACGGCTCCTTTAAGAGACGCACGTGTGAGATCTGTGACTCCTTGGAGCTGGAGGACAAGGAGCGAGCGGTCTGTGTCGTTTTGCACCAGCAGTTCTGATGGCACTGGTGATTTGGGGCAGGGCTTCAGCACACAACTTTCATTTGGAGAGATTAAAATAGACATACATGGTTGGGTAGATTTTTCCTTGTGGTGTAAAACCCAGAGGGTCCACAAAGGAAGTTAGTATTAACTAGTAATTTATATGGTTAAAAAAAGATGTGTGTTAAATTCAGCCTTTAACCCTGATTTTGGGGAAGCAGCTATTTGCTAAAAAAGAAAAAAATTTCTCTAACCTGGATTCAGGTTTTGATTTTTTTCCCTAAAACTTTGAGTCAATCCCCCAATTTGTTCGTGGCTTTCTCTGTAAAAGGGGAGACACCGTATCTCACAAGGGTTCTGTGATGTCACCACCACTGTTAACCGTCCCAGTGCTGGTACCTCGTTTCTGCGGGTCTGGGACCTCAGGGGCGCACGTCAAGATGCTCCTTAGGGGCCCGCGCTCGGCTGGCTCCAGGGCCGTCTGCCAAGTAGACATTTCACTTGGTCTGCTCTTACTTTGACTCCTTCAAAGGCCTCTTCTGACCAGCGCCCCCCACTGCTCAATCCTGGACGGGCCCCGGATGCCTGCCCCTGGCTCCCGAGCCCTGGAATCAGCCAGGGCTCCATCCCCCAGGACGGAATGACGGCAGGCAGGTCCCCAACTCCTTCAGAGGAACAGGACCCTACCCACCACCCTGCAGGGAGAGGCTCTCGGGACGACCAAACAGGTCAAGTGCTTGGTACTGTGCACAGAACAGATGCTCAGAATGTTCCATTTTCATAGCACTAGATGTGGGTATAACAATCGCCAGACGGATAGGAGCTGTTTTGTTCAATGCAATTGTTTTCACACATGGTGGAGTTTTTCCCCTTCCCTCCCCCTTTTGGTATTAGGGTGTAATTTACTCCAGAGGAAAAGCAACACGCTCAGCCCAGGAGGCGGGATGTGTGGACTCAGGTGGTGCTCGGAGGTGCCACGTACGCAGGTACATCCCATGCGCCCGGCACGTGGCGGCTGCGTCTGCAGTAGAGGGAAGGTGACCCAACCACCGTCTGTGCTTGGGACAGACCCTGCCCCCAAACCAGGGTCCACGGTTGGCATGCTTCTCCGTAAACATGCATTTCTACCGTGCTGCCAAGACTTCTCACTGCTTCTGCTCAGACCCACGCAGACAAACACAGTCACGGGATGCTTCCTTAACTTACCTGATTTAAGAAAAAGGGATACGCTCTCATTTGTCACCTTTCCTTTCTACACCACCCTTCACTGCCGAGCAGAAAGGGGAAAGCCTGGAGCTCAGGGGGCGGAACTGTCGGTCTGATAACACGCCGGCACTGGTTACGCACACGGCCGATCAGTAAGTGAACAGGAATGTTTAAAAACACCCACTCGAACAAGGGGGACAATTCTGACATTTTTTTAGTGCAGAATTCAGTGACGCAGTTTTGAAAAGCTACCTCTAAGGTGCACCACTGGAAGTTCAGATTTCTCAGTCTGAACGTTTTCTGAGGTCCGAGGACCACGCGGAATGAGGCTCCCGTGGTTTTAACCGTGCAAATGTGCCGGTTAACCTGGTTGTCGTCCTAACTTCAGACTCTGGGCACACGGACACTGTTAAATGCTTTTCACTGTCGTATCTCTTCCTGCTTTATTATTGACACACGAAGCAGGAGCGGATGTGAGTGTTGACCGTGGAGCCTGGCGGGGCTGGCAACCTGGCAACACTGGACCAACCCCCACCAACGATCCGGCTTGTGCAATTTAACCCAGCTGCCCTGCCCACCCCCTGCCCCGTTTTCTCCTCCAAACAAGTCCACGCTGTTAAGGCTCTAACACCAGTGACAGGTTCTGTGCTGAATACCCAGGTCACAGCGAGTGCTCCAGGCCGGTGATTTGCATGGGAGAGCATGGACTCCTCCGTTCACGGAACCTCCCTTGTGGCACATGGATCTTCAGGAAAGCTGGCACGCATCCACACGGTGCAGCTCGGGGACACATCAGATGCACCCCAGCCCTCCCACACTTGAGAACAAGATGGGCCGCCCAGCAACACAGCACAACAAACAAAAGCGTGAGTGTTGAGACTCAGCCGTGTCTCAGAGCCGGGCTGGGGCTGTGTGCGGTGCTGCGCACTCACGGGTGATGGCACCAAACGGTGCGGCTCCCGGGACCTCAGGCAGGGGATGGACCCTCGGCCCGAGGCTGGCTCAGAGCCGCCTGCTCCGTCCCGAGTCGGAACTGGACGCAGTCAGCACGATCGAACGTCTCTTAGTCCCCGAAGACGGACCAGGTGGAAACAGAGGCCATAAAGCAATCTGCTGGCCGTGGCGTTTCCCTCCCTCCTCGCCCTCCCCCTCCTCCCGGCCGCGCTCGGTAGTTCTGTCCTGCTGCAGAGCCGGGCGCCTGTGTTTCATGACCAAGCTCTTTCCCACTCGGCCCTTTCCTCTTTCCCTCGGTCCCTTCACACCGCGGAGGCCACAGCATCTCCAAACACAGAGATGTTCCCTTTCAAGCCCAAATCCTTCTGTACTGTGAAACACGATGAAGGGACCACAGGGCACTGAGGTGGGGAGGAACCCGCCGTGATGCCGCGAACGCTTCCCGGAGTCCCGTGTCATGGAATACCCAGCTTTTACTTCTCAGATTGTTTCCAGCGCCTACCTACAGGATGCTGCTTGTAAACCGTGTCTCAGTTCACAGATTACAAGGCAAAACCCTCTCGTATACAACAGCTGTCTGTGAAGCTGAGATTACAAAGTCCGCTGCGTTCCCACACCTGCAAGTGATGACCGACACCAGACTCAGGTCGGAAACGCTCTGCTGCTGGCCACAGTCTAACTGCCACCTGGTTCGCTGAACACATAAGAAGTTCGCTCCAGCTTCTGGGTGCTGCCTCATGAAACCCACACCCAGCACGCGTGGACGTCCTGCTTCTGAGGACCCAGCAGGGAGGAGGGGCTTCACTCCTGAACTGACACCAACCAGGTCACACCCAGGAGCTTGGAACAGCCCCTGCACCCCAGGCTCTCTCCTCAGTGTCCGGTGGGCCCCCAACACCCTCCCCGGGCTGTCCTCACTCTTGATGGGGTCTCCCCTCCTAGGCTCACCTTCGGGCCATCCAGGGAGGAAAGCAGACGTTCAGCCTCACCCCTGTAATGGGGATCCTGCTGGATCCTGACCCTGAGACAGTGGGATACTCGGCATCAGGACCTGCGCTGGCTCCCGCGGCCCTGGGGGTTGTTGGACCCAGAGCAGTCGCCCCACAGTCTCCTAAATCACAGTGGGGACGGAGGTTCTGTGAGACCAGCTGGGCTCGAGGGAGCCTGACATAAACCGTCCACGTCTCATTTCTTTGTCTTCTCTTCATATAGAAGAGGCCAAGACCCGCGAGGGGGCACCGTGGCAACACGGCAGCACTCACGGCCCTGGTGTGAGGGCAGCGCCTGCTGTCGGGGCCTCCCCTGGCCCCGCGTGTGCTTCCCGAGTGGCTCCTGCTGTGCTAGCAGGGTGGGCGGGGGGGGGGCCTCCGGTTCAGAGCCCCCCCACCCATGCCGGCGGACACAGCCATGAACGCCTATGTCCACCCCTTTCCCATGGCCGGGGTGTCCCGAGCACCACACACCAGCAGCATGCTGCAGAGAAATTCCAGCCCCAGCTGACTTGCAGTCTGACGATGCAGGGAGTGGGGACACCCCACGGGGCAGGGAGCCCATGGCTCCCCCCAGCCCAGGTGCCGCCCGGAAACAGGGCTACCAGCGTCTGCAAATTAAAACAGCAACAGCGACTACCACCCACTGAGAGCACGTCACCTGCCAGGTGGACCCCACACATCACTGGTCTGTGTGACTCCTCTCACTGCTGGGGGAGAAGCAGGTGCAGAGGTAAGGGCCTGCTCAGGGCCACGCAGGTCCCAAGCAGCAGGGCTGGACTGCCAGCTCCCACCCACCCAGTGCCCGGCTGGCACTCTGAGCCCCGAACCGCATGTCTGCTCTTCCGTATCGTCACCACCGCCCACAATCCTGGGCTCTGCTAGGTCACTTCTGTCTTTTGATTTGTCCCCTCCTCCGCTCTTGGCACAGGCATCCTCAGCCCTCCTTCCCTGGCTGGTGCAGGGTGTAAACGCACAGAGGCCATCGCCCCTGCTGCACATGACCACCTGCCTGGTCCGCCCCCGTCAGAACCTTCCCACGTGTAAAGTGCATCGTTTGGAAGAAACGAGACTCAGACTCAAAACGTGCATCCTTCTGTCCCATAAACCGCCTGCTCCTGCAACAGTTCCCAGCATCCACTGGGAAAATGCCTCGCCATGAACCGCGGGCTCCAGGACGGCCGAGCCGGTGAGGACACGGTGAGTCCCAGCTCCGCCCCACCCGGCCTCCCCAGAGTGCGAGCTTGCTGAGGTCCCCACTGTATTCTAAAGAGGCAGAAAACTGAAAATTGGAATGTGTCAATAATAGTCAAGGACATACACTAAGAATACAATAAAGAGAGAAAGTTCCACATTTGTTCCCTCAGACACACCAAACATGAGCACAAATACTCATACTAAAATGTAACTTTTTAGCAAAGGTGGTGATTTTGACTGTTTTTCAAGATGACGGTCCTGTATTCACTGACTGAAGGAGCGTGAGCGTGGAAACTGTTCCCCGTCAGTGGTCTGCTGTGCTGGACCACGACCCGACTCGTGGGTAAGGCTGTTTCCATCTCATCTTAGTGTCTTTGCAGAAACGTAACTTTACGTGACCATGGGACCTTAGGATAAACACTGTACAAACTTCTGCAAGTTTGTAAGCTTTGCTAAAATTACCTGTATCATTTTCTAACACAGTATTTCCTTCAAAAGAAATTTTAAAATATGGAATGATAAATAGATTGGAGATTTTTAAAATGATGACTCCTGAACAATCTTCACTCGTGAATAATAAAATCGTTAGCCTGGCTTTCCTTTTGTGAAAAGTGTTACTTACATGACCTCTGCAGGCTTTGCATAGTACCCTGCCACATGGCGAGCCATTAAGGCACAAAATCACTTCTCACTCACTTGGGTGTGTCCCCCGTACACAGCAAAGCACAGAAAAGCTACGAGATCCTCAATAAAAAAGAATCTGAGGCTTGAACTGGGAACACGGTGTCCAGGAGCCGCCTGTTCAATTCTAAGCGCTCACTTGATTTTTTGACCGTAAATCTCTGGTTGAAAATGAGACAAAACATTTGAATGTAAACAAACAAGAGTCCTGAATGCTACACACAGGTCCTACTGAAGTTCTGGCTCATCTACACTTCCACGTCGCTGAAATCCTGCGGAACTAGGAGTGTGTGGTTTTTCAGTTTTTCTACCACAGCTTTTACGTCCCAGTCACTCCTGTCTCTGTAGGACTCAGCTGATGGAATTACGCAGTGCAGGTATGTTTACCGCCCTCTCTTGTCTCGGGCCAGCCCTCGTCCCCCAGCGTGGCAGCCCCGCCACCCACAGGCTAGTGTCCGCAGCCGCCCCGCGGCGACACTCACGCAGAGCGCGCTCGTGTGCTCCGTGCTGCTCACGGAGACAGACGCCTGACCTAACAGAACACGCCGTCTCCGCCCTGGGAACGGAGCTGGGCGGCAGTTCAAGCCAGAGCAGCAGGACCCCCGCGAGCACCGCTC